TATATAAAGGCAGGCCTTAAACACTGAAACAGTAGATATAAAGGCAGGCCTTAAACACTGAAACAGTATATATAAAGGCAGGCCTTAAACACTGAAACAGTAGATATAAAGGCAGGCCTTATTGTTTATAGAGATACATCTTATAATGGAATGTCCTTTACCTTAGTTTGTCTGTTTTGTGTAAAGAACTAGGATTTGCTGCTCTGTGAAGAAAACTGGAAAACAGTACTTTGACTTCCTTAGCTCTGAAAAAAAAGGAATTCAAGTAGATGTTACAAGCAATCATTACATCACCATATTTGCTAGCTGTCATTTCAACTGATACATACTTTCTAAAATTGCTCTATAGATACAAAATATAAATGTCAATTCAAAAGCGCTGTTCAGGGTATACATCCTTCCTCTGTCCTTAATATTGCTATTTTGTTAGCTAAAGAATTAGTCAGCATTCTAGCAATTCACTGTGGCGTGTCCATCAAGGTTAAATGGACACGCCTTGAAATCATGCAGGGATTTCCATGGGCAAAAACAAAGCGACGCACCTCTCCAGGCAGACAGCAGGCAGGAAGGAGAGTCCTCTGCACATGATGGGTGGTGAGCTTTGGAGCCTCTGTGTGATTATTCAGCAGCACACAGCTGGAGCGGTCGTATCAGCAGACTGTGCCTTGAGCCTGCGAGCCCAGACCTTTTATGCAGCAGCTGCTCTGACATCATCGGCCAGCTCAGCCAATGAGAGACTCTCAGTAGGAGGGAAACTGTCATGCTCTTTAGCCTTCTGTGCCCTGTCCCATCCGTTTCTCTGAAAATCTTTTTTTTTGTCACAGGAAAAATTCTTTAGTTTTTCCAGTAAAACAGTATGGTAATGAGTATGATTATACTCCTGCTCTACCATTCCGTGATATGAGTAAATCTTGGATTTGCCAAAACTCTCATGAAGAGAGAAAGAAAGACAAGTAAAAAATAAATCGTTTGATGTATTCTGCAAGGCATGCATGCATTTCTTGTCATTTGAATATGAAAATGAGAAGCTTGGTGACATCGTGTTATATTTGTGTTCGGGTCCTTCCAACTGTTTTCAAAGTATTATAATGATGATGAGGATTATTATTATTATTATTATTATTATAATTATAATTATTATTACTGTGACTGTACTAGATAAATGGTTATATAACATGGATGGATAAATTATTATTGTAATTAATAATAATAAAGTTATAATAGATTATTACTGTAATTAATAGGGCAGGGTCACTGTCTGTTTATCTGTCCTTGGTGGGTGAATCAGGCCCTTTTGTGTCTCATATGATGCTGGTCACACAGAGGTACGTATGTAAGTGCGTTTCTATCTTCCGTGCCCTGATCCAGCTCGCTGCGCTGACACTCCGCTCCTGACCCCCCTCCCATTTTGCTTTTCATGTATCTGTTTTCTCCTGTCTTTTGTTTCTATCCCTCCCTGCTGCTTTTGTTGTCTCCTCTGGTGACCCCAAATAAAATTTCTGTAGCCCGATATCACAAGGCTCTTTTCGGTCTGGGGCAGCGTCATTATTATTACTGGGAATATCGTAGCGTTATTATTATTACTGGGAATATCGTAGCGTTATTATTATTACTGGGAATATCGTAGGGTTATTATTATTACTGGGAATATCGTAGCGTTATTATTATTACTGGGAATATCGTGGCGTTATTATTATTACTGAGAATATTGTAGCGTTATTATTATTACCTGGAATATCGTAGCGTTATTATTATTACTGAGAATATCGTAGCGTTATTATTATTACCGAGAATATTGTAGCGTAATTATTATTTCTGAGAATATCGTAGCGTTATTATTATTACTGAGAATATCGTAGCGTTATTATTATTACTGAGAATATCGTAGCGTTATTATTATTACTGAGAATATAATTACAATGCCGAGGATGCGGATGATAGTGATAGTAAGAGAACCCCCAGCTATGATTCCGGATTATCTGCGCTTTCCATCATTTTCAGGGACATTGGGTTCATATTTGTTTTTTAAAAAAGGAAAAGGAAATGAAAGGGTTTTCAAGGACTGCATTAAACTCAAACTACGGAAAGATTTAAAAGAGATGGGGAGGGAAAAAATCCTCAGAAGAGCCTAAGGGAGCCGCCCACTTGGACAGAAGATTAATAAGGATGGATGATGAGGATGGCGGATGAAGCCGCTGCCATCTCGCCGTGCCCTGTGGGGGGCTTCAGCCTCCTCATGACGTCTTCCCGGGGTGACTCTATAATGAGGCAATCGGAGGCTACGGAGACCAGCCTTGAGGTGCTGAGTCTCACCGCTGATGTAAGCTGCCGCCCGCCGCTTTGAAAAGGTGAAGTCATCGGAACAGGGGGGGGCAGAAAATAAGTGCTTGTGCTACAGAGGCCTTCCAAGGCTAAATAAGCCATTTCAGATCAGCCAGATTGCTACGGGAAATGCGGCGGTTGGCCAGGAAACGCTGCTCTTGGCGTCTTGGATGCCTTACGGCAAACCGGGCGAAACGGGGATGAACGACCACGATCACAGAGGGCCAGTTACTCTCTGTGGTGGCTACAGTAACGGCTGCTGCAAATCTGGGTTGGTAACATAAGAAGATAGTATAGTGGTTAAGGCTTGGGGGTGTCCTCTGAGCAAAGCCCTCACTGATTCGCCTACTTTGCCGTCTGTCTTCTCATAACTGAGAAGCACCCACCTGAATAAATGGGTACAACTGTGAAATGGCTTGGATGGATTCATCAGCCGAGCTAAAAGCCTGTGTTTCTGTACACCTGGGCTTTCACATTTCGGATATTCAGAAATGAATTATGTTGTGTTTGTGCAAAGAACATGAACAGAAGAAGAAGAAGAAGAGTGTATTTCCTGTCACAACAGCGCATGTGCCTGTTTTAAGGATGCAGTCCTAACATTCCTGTAATACATACAGTATAGCATCCCTTGAGACTGCACAACACACTCCTCTTACTAGAAATATTTTTTCCAAGCTTTCTTCCAGGATAAGTAACTTCCCAAACTCGTAGTAACATGGAAGCCCTCTAAAGTTTTCTTACCTTAGTATGACTACGCCTATATTATGACTCATTTATAATAGTGTAGATTAATATTTTGTTGGAATGATCAAGCACAAGCATGAAATGCACTCAGTCGCACTGAGAGAATTACAAAGCTGGGTACATTTTCCCACAAATTTATATAAAGCACAATAACGTTGCATATATTTATTGCCTGCATTTTTTGCCATCCATCCATTTTCTATACCCACTTCTCCTGTGCAGGGTCACATGGGTACAGAGTCTATCGCAGGGTTATTCAAGTCACGGTCCTCAAGGTCCGAGCACTGCTGGTTTTCCAGCCTTCCTTTACCTGTCAGTCAGGTGTGAAGCCTCTGACCAATCAGAATCAGTCATTATTAAACAACTACCTGGGAGAACAGAAAACACGGCCTGGATTTGGAATCGAGGTCCAGAGTTGAAGAACCCTGGTCTATCTGGAGGGAGGGAATAACCCAGGATGGGGCACCAACCCATGACAGGACACACTCACCACCTAGGAACAATCTGGAAGCTCTAATTCAATTTAGACTGTTTGAGAAACTGGAGGAAACCCCAGAATGACACAGAGAAAGAATGCACACACACACACACAGACACACACACACACACACACGCTTGCACATGTAGGCACTCACACACACACACACACACACACACACAGACGGGGTGCAGTCTCAAATCTTGGTTTCCAGACTGGTGAGGCAACAGTGTTCACATGAATCCTAATATATGCTCACTGATATTCAGCGTAAAATGGACAAAAAAATATTTAAATAATGTCCTTCTATAAGGAGATGATTTTTCTACCACATAAATTGACTGACTAACATTATTATTATTGCTTGGTTTTGTTTAGATCTCTTTATTCCGTTGCATTTAGACTATCTGATTGCATATAAAGAAAGAGTAATAATTCAAATCCTATAAGGGGTTCTGCTCTTGGATCCTTGAGGGAGGTGCTACAGCAGAAGTTTTGTATAAACAATAAAGGTGTGATTGCGAGCTACACTTTTAATAGTGAATGGAAATGGACGTAATGACTTGCATGTAAGGTACGATTTGCATAACAAAGGCCAGGAAGGTTCACGCCAACCGCATCTGTTAGTACCAATTAACTGCGTCTTGGGGGATTTTGCAGCAATAAACATCTTTGGCCATTCCTGGCTCTTTTCTTGCCACCTGCATCAGGTATAAAGTGAATATCTTCACAGCAGCAGCCTGCCTGGGTGAGTCAGGTTTGTATTTCCTGGCAGCCTGAATAGGACAGAATGTTTCAGACGTCCGTAGTGAATACAATGGCCTCCTTGTTGTCTTACGGCAGCATGCGGAATAATCTTGGTTAACTTTCTGTGTCAGGAAATAACAATGTTCTTAGAATTAAAATTGAGTTACTTAAAAATGTAGTAGATAAAAAAATGGCTGATAAAATACTAGGGCAAGAAAGTTAATTGTACAATGTATTTTTATCATACACGTTTATTGTACTTATCACCATAGTTGTATTTTTAGTAAAACTTTTTTGTGAGAGATTTCTTTTATTGCAATTTTCATCCATCTTCCAACCTCTTATCCAGTACAAGGACTTTACAATATTACTTCACAATTAAAAAACTGACAAGAAAAGAATAAAATATGTATAAAAAACAAAATATAATTTTGAAGAGACGTTTCCTGTATTGAAATGAGTGATAGATTGAAATGGTTGCATGTGTGTCATTGACTGTAATGCGCATGGCCTACTTTACTGGCAACAGTAACCTAAATATTGCCTTGGGCCTGTTAGCACTAGGGCAGCAGACAAAGTTACGTAAACAAATAGGACTCACACTTCCTCTCCTCATTGAATGTTCTGAATGAAAGCCCAGCTGACACAATCAATACTGCACTGTTCTCTGTCTATCGATATTTTTAGTTGGATTCACAACAGCTATTGTAGCAGTGCCCTCATAATTACATTATTTACGTGTGACCCATGTCAAACCTGTGTGTTTAGCTGCAGTATAAAATGCATAGTGACATAAGGGACAGGCTGGACAAATATGCAATGTAGGTCATAGCGACACGTATATAGTAATTGTGCAGCTATTTAGCTGATGATGATAATCCCCCAGCATTAGTGTAATAAACACAAATACACAAAAATAAACCTCCATTAGGGGCAGCAATGCTTACTGAGAGAGTTACAATGTTCCAGCACACCTTTGGGGGTTTGAGACCCACATCTGCTTTGTGTGTGTGTGTGTAGGTGGCATTACATCATGTGCCCCACCCTTATTCCATACACTTTCTGGACAGATTGTACAGATATCTGTAAGTCTCCGAAAAACACAACCGACGTGCCGTCTAACGCATCGGTCACATATGAACAATCGCATCAGATGTGTGATAAGTTTTTGGGCAGCACCAGTTCCCTGTAGGCGTGGGTGTGTCAGTGACGCAGAGGCCTTTCATCAGGGGAAACGCCCGAGTCTCACCCCGTATGACAAAATGGTTTATTCCTCCCGTAAGTCACAGAGAGAGAAAGAGAGAGAGAGAGAGAGAGAGAGAGAGAGAACGTGCCTTGGGACCAAAATGATTGTGCAGGAAGCTTCCTGACCGTAAAAACTTCGCAAACTTTCTAGTGCCAGAATCGAAGCAATTACAGCCTGTATGTATGTAAAAAAAAAAGCCTGTATGTAGACTGGGGTCACACAGATCAAGTAATATGTGCATTAATTACAGCAATCATTAGTCAGAAGATTTGATGCCTGCAGTATTTGCATTGGTGTGTCAATGATTAACTGAATAAAAGATCATGATGTCATTTATCCCGTAAGGAGCACAAAGAAAAGACATGTGAGATAATGAGGCGTAATGAAGGCTAATGTGCTGCATCCCATTGGTGGCACTTTCACTAAACACGACTGGATGTTACGAACATTCCAGCCACATTTCATCAGTGTAATTGTTAAATAGGGATCTGATTATTGCAATACGTGTTAAGCAAGTCAGGACGTTAGTAATAGGTGGGAGCCTGTATGTACAGACCAAAGGGCTGAGGAGGCGACGCCAAAGTATGTCACAGCAAGAAATACGCAACACAAAAATCACTACAGTCAAAGGTGTGTATTTGTTTAGTATAACTGAAGAGCCTAATTTTCCAAACTCACTCCGTCCGTTTTTTTTGTTGTTTTTGAGACGAGACCGCTGATAACATGAAGTCAGGCTTCCTCATCATATACTACAGTATGTGCAAAAAAATCGATACATCAATATATCCCGATATTTCCTTTCATGATATACTATATCGATTTCTAGCTCCAAAAATCGATATTTCCGAGGGGGAGTACCATGCAAAATACAACCAGACGTTTTGGGAACACCCTGGAGCCACGCTATGTGATCCCAACGAGAAAACATTACGGAGGTAGCTGTGCCCAGGGTGTACGAGGAGGTAACGCAAGTTGTAAAAAAAATCTCTTCTTTCTGCAGCACGAGTGGCACTAACGTGCGATTGACTTCGCGATCCACTGAATCTTACGTTACGATCACCTCGCACCACATTAATGAGGATTGGCAACTGATTTCCCATGTTTTGTTGAAAGGGGGACCTTTTTCACTGCTGCACCGCTAAAAATGTGCAGCGAAAGATCAGAAACGCAAGATATAGCTGACACTGGAGTTGTAAAAAAAATTAATTCTCAGATACTGATCGATATTTAAAATAAGTATCTGATTGGATACTGATTTTCACCATTATTGATACCAACAGTGCAGTTTCCGCCTCATTCACCAAACTTCACATAGCATCACCACAGCGCAGGCACACACTCGCGCAGCCCCTCCCCGTCTCTCAATAGCCGCTGAACGCGCTTGCGCTGGTTAACACGCACATACCGAGTTGGCCGAACATGGCACGTGCTGCAGTTGAAGGCACTAAGCAAGCTGCTTTAGTAAAAAAGAAAAAAAAACGCAAAAGTGCCGTTTGGAAGTATTTTGCAGAGGAGCATGGAAAGGCTAAGGGTGTCAATAAGCCTCTATGCAAATGGTGCTACAAAGTTGTGGCGACGAAGTCAAGTAGCACGTCTAACCTGGCGAAGCATCTTAAAGACCGACATCCCGGTCTTTATGAGAAATTTCACGAGGTCAGTAAAGCTCTCGTGCCAGCAACACTGAACTATTAAACACTTATAAAAAATGTTAACTTGGCCGCCGCACACCTTTACATTAGCCGTTTATCTATAAGTAGTTAGCCAACAAACACGTTAGCCGGATGTTATCATTAAGGTAGCGGATAGGCGCAATGGAAATGGATAATAATAAAATAATATAGTTAATGTGGGAACAATGCAAAAACGTAAAACAAAAATGTGTCCTATAAAATCTTGTAAAATGAGGTAAACGCCCAATCATACTTCTTATAAAAATACAGTCGTATACTGTGAAACCGATATAACTTTGAAAAATACCCTGATATAAATTTTTGGTCATACCGCCCAGCTCTAATCATACTGTTTTATTTTCATTATAAGAACAGGTAATATGCTCAGTCCTCGACAAGCACCACAGCAGCCTAAGATAACTGACTGGGCACTTTCATTTATTATTTTCATTCTTATGCACTTTATCTTAACGTTTTTTGGTGTCCACTAGTTCAGTGTGTTAAAATGCAAAGACAATAAAGTTAAAATTCAATTGAGTTAGGTTGTTTTGGCTGAATTATTAATGTAATGTGATTCATTAAGACCACCCAGATCATACACAGCAACTTGTATTTCAGCTCGATTTTATTTTTTTTTCAGTGAACTGTAGAATATTGCAATATATCGCAATATGTATAGCATTACAATATCTCACTCAGCCTTCATTTATTACAATGGAGAACTTCCATTACTTTCCCAGATCCCAGCAGCATAGGGTACAAGGCTGGGGTTTACCGTGGAGAAGATGCCTGTCCCTCACAGGACACATAAACACACAATCAAACGCTGTGGGCAGTTTATAAATGCGAATTAGCCCGGAGCAGGAAACTTGTATGACGTGGGGAGAAGATGGAAACTCTAGATGCCCAGAACAGAGTTGGGATTCAAGCCCCAAATCCTGGCGACAGTATTTAAACACTCCCACAAGTATTACACGCTGACCAACAAACTTTTATTTTTAATGAAAACTGCTCTTAAAGAAACTAATCTGCAATGTTCCTCATTCAGTCAGATCTTTATTTATATCCTGACCCAGCTGTTCTTGTGTCTTTGTTTTCTTAGGTGACAGTGGGACGGTGGCCCCTGGACAGTGGGACGGTGGCCCTTGTTCTTGCCTTACAAACGCTCATCTCCTCACCCAAGCAATAACAGCAGGGTAGTGGCAGCTTTCCATGTGCCCCCTTTTCCTGTGGCGTCACACGCTCCCTGAACAGCAGTTATTCTCGTAAGCATCTCAGACAGAACTTTCCAACGCTGAAAAATTCCAGAAGCTTGGATGTTTGTTGATTGCTTGTCCCTCCATGCCGTAACCCTTTGGCTTAGCGGAAGAGCAACGTTATCTGTGTGTCACTCTCCGCTAATCTGTTGTGGATATATTTAGCTAATAAAAAAAAAAATCTAAAAATTGTGCAAGTCGGTATAGGAGCCAGAAATGTTTTCGACAGCTAATGTTTGCCATCTTCATCCACATCATTATTCTTTGGCCTTCGACAATTAGTAGGCTAATGTAATTGCCTGTCTATCTCTGCAGCTGTTTAACTAGGAAGAAACCTAAAACTGCCGCTGGTGAGAGCAGGACCCGTGGCTGGATTATGTTTTTTACATTAAGTACACGTGAGTAGCTAGCTGACTGTGAGCGGTTGCGATAATTGCCTGGAGAGGTTGCCGTGGGATCGGCGTGGAATCTCGGGAGGGCACTGTTGCCGCCGATTTGCATATCAGTTTCCTGCGGCAGACAGTTACCCATCGCGGAGAGCGTCTTTAATTAAAAACGGTCTCAGGTTTGACCTCTCCTTCATGATGTCAAATGACTTTCTGGCTGCGGACTGTGCTTAAGCCAGACCATATGCCCAGTGTATGGCAGCTAATGCGATTTTCATCGGCCTCAGGACAGGTGAAGGCAGTTTAATGCATCGCATTTAAGTTAATGAGCAAAAAATACCTGCGATGCAAAGTGTCCCCTGACATACACGAGATTAAGCCCTTTAAATGATGCCACCGCCCGGATCCATGTCGATAGAACAGCCTGAAATCAAGCGATATGTTATTGTAACACTGTGTCACGTGGCATCGCCCCATCGCAGAAAGTGACCCAGCTGTGAGACTTGTACCCGTGTACGTCTGGCTCTCATCCATCATCGTGTGATCCAGACTAAACAATGGCGGCCCAATCTTGGTAGCGACCAGCGCTACATGATTATACATGGATACTGCAGCTGACTTCTCTTCCTCTTTCCTAATTGCCAGCATGGCAGGTGCCTCCAGTTATGCAGTTTAAAGCACCAGAAATGCTATAACACAAGCAACTTAATACGTAGCTTGATTATATAACTTTAATATATCTTAAAGCCATCCTGGTGTCCAGTAATGGAGACATTCATAAATGGGTTAGTAATTCAGCCAAAAATGAACTGCTTTCATACCTCACTAAACAATACCTGGCATGTTTTTGAACAATAATATGCAGCTATTATAGTAAAAAAAAGGCAGCTACAATTTTTTGTACTTACTCTTTCTCCTTCCATAAAATATACTTGTTGGTATGTTGGCCGTTTTGTCAGAAATACAGAAGGAGTTGTCAAAACCGTATGTTACTGTCCTCTTTAGGGTAGAACAGGAATAACAAGGTTTGCTCAAATCACTGAAAGGACAGATGGAAAAATAAAATGTTCTCTATGGTGGGCATAAATGTCGGGGCCTCGGAAGGATATAGAAAAAAACAAATAAAGACTACAGTATGTCTTTATACCAAGGTTTCGGTAAAAGCTATTTTCCCATTGGTCCAGAAATGTCACATGAGTGTTATTTTCATGGACCACACAGGTATTTCAGCAGCCTAATAAAAATTCTATGTTAATGCATTATTGAATATAAGACTAATACATATAAAACCTGTATGACTTTTTACTCCTAAATAACTTGACGACTTAAAGAAAATCTTGAGTTTCCCACTGGTAAATACAACTAGGTAGTGGCATTCATGCGCTCCCATCTTGCATTTACGATTTTTCCGACATGACTTGAAGGCAGGGCATATTTTAAGAGCACTTTGGAACATTATTAAATGCTAAATTAAATAATTTTGTTCTGAAAAATTAACTGTGACTATTTTTTGCTTGTTAGCTGTGGTATAAGTGGAATAAACCACCTTCGGGCGTGTGGTTATACAGGAATAACCAACTCCAGCGTGTTTACTGCACACCTCGTCGTGGATTATCAATTATATACAATACACCTCAACCTCCAACAATCTTCCTTTGGGTTCTAATAAAAATCGGCAGTAATTCAATGCTGATTAATTTCCTATAATTTTGATTAGATTGATTTATCTGGCAGACACCAGTAATTTCACTTATTAGAGACAGATTACTGGATGAATAATCCAGTTTCCTTTCTAAAGTTCAGAAAAACAGCAGTTTGGGGAACAGACTGTTCAGTTGCACCTAGAATGATCTTCAGTCACGGTGATGTAGCTTTGCCTCAGAATGGCTTATTCTCATAAGAAACAGTCCCTAATTGGGAACATTGCATAAAATGCGGCCTTTCATGTGCCCTTGGTGAACTGAACCATTTTCATGAAGGGTGATTAACTCCAATATGGTTTTAATGCCTCGTACTGTTTTTGCTTCCAGAATCATTGATTTCCTTGAGGGGAAACAGAAGAGCTTACCAGTAGGAAAAATGTGGACAGATGCAAACAATTCAGAAGAGACATACTGTGTCTCCTGAAAGCAGCGCAGCCAGTGGCCGCACTGTCCCCTGAAAGCAGCGCAGCCAGTGGCTGCACTGTTCTCGCCACAAAATGTCAGCATTACATTCCATCTCACAGATGTCACAAATTATATCTGCTTAATTAGGATCATCACAAACAAGCTCTGTTCTTATAAAAAGTACAAAGCACAAAATTCACTGAGGTCCCTTAGAATGTTTTACCTGAATGTTAGAATAAAAATAAAAGTGCCAAATGGCCTTCCATAATATCGTGCATTTATATTGCATTTGTAGACTTATCTGTGATATTTTTTTTTCCATTTACAACATAATAATGTGTATTTGTACAAACTAAAGCAACTGGGGTTACCATGGGAACTACTACCACTCTGCAGATACTTAGACCCGGAATGTATTAATTTTGTAAACACTAGTTGGATTTTATGCCAGTAGCCCTTTTTAGAGTTATGTGTACTGTATATGGAAATATTTCGCTAAATACAAAACATCGATTGGAAAACTCAGTCAGTAATTACGTTGTTGTGGCTATCACTCACTGCCGGAAATTAAAATTAAAAATTACTTTATTCAGGTTATAAAGATTTTCAATAACTACCGACCTTGTAAATGATAATAAGTTTTCTAAAAAACCATGTGACACTCCATCATCTCCCATGATGCACTGGAATCCCATTCAGGGAGTCCCAAGCCTTGTGATGTCTGCTGTGGACGCATTTCATCTTCCAAATTAGTTATCCAACCCTAACCCATTATCCTACCCTAACCCATTATCCTACTATATGCCAAAATGGGAGGTACTTCAAAAAGATAACTGTCTTAAAATAAATAGATGCTCTTTGCATAATTTTGTTCTCTTTTTCACTCAGATGGATTATATAATGTAATTTGCACAACTTCCCCAGAATTATCAATAATTCTGTTAAAGAAATAAGAGCCAGCCATGTCCACCTGGGGGCAGCCTCGCTTTAGGGGGGTTAGGGAGTGCACTTCTGCCCCAGAGGCATGCAGGGGGTTTCTGTCAGACACGGTAGTGAGTGACACAACTGTGATAGTGTACATTTTTTGTGCTGTATGTTTTCTGAGATAGCCTCTGGGCTCACCACAGCCCTGCATGGTTAAGGAAGATGGGTGGATGGATGGATGGATGGATGGAATTAACAAAAGCAAATCACATTCTGAAAACAAGACATTTTCATGCATGCTGTACTCAAGAAATATAGTAATATATTAAAAGAGACACTGTCTTTAATAGTCGTGAGCTACTTATTGGTTCAATTAGCACCCTAAAATATGTCTGAACATATATATGACTTTCTTATTTACAAACAGAGGCGTCAATCTATTCATGAAATGCAAGAGTACTGCACACTTTGGTAAAGCATAGTTTTCAGGGAGACTAAATAACTGATTTAACTCAATAAATAGTAAACCCTTTTGGGATTTATTTTTCATGAAATTGCTACTAGATAAATTAACAGAATAAATACAAATGCGGTCCCCATTAAAACCAGTAATGGTTTTAGTTGAACATAAAAAGCTGCTAATTACTCCAAGGTCTACCATATAATTAATGTATAACAATTTTTATCTATGCATATGTAATGCATAATGCATAACGAGGAAACAATCAAAAAGATAATTGGTCCAACCAAGCACTTTAATTGTTTTTGTTTGATGTGGGTCTTTAGTGCATGTTGTGGCTTTTGGACGGCTGGGGACATACGGTGACACCTTGTGACATCTGAGAGGGCAGTTCCAGCATTTCTGCATGAAGCGGCACTTTGCAGTCGGGCACCGGCTCAGGATGTGTCACATGCCCCCACTTAATGAGGTCCTCGTTATAAACCTGACAGGATTCTTCGGAAAAACAAAGCCGTCCGCGGCCGACGGCCGTAATGGGCGAGATCCCGCCTGGGAAATCGCATTATTCTGTGGCTTCCAGGGCTGCCTGTGAATGATGTGATGCAGGATCGTACGCAGGCAGCACATCAAAGGCGATTCTTCATTTTGTGGGAACCCCGCAAAGGCGATTGATGTAACAAGGCCACCCACGCAGGCCAGTTAAGAGCGATCACCTTTTGAGAGCACAGGATGCTGAAAGCATTTGTGAAAGCTTTGCCTGACTTCTTCCAGCATCAAAACACACAAAATATGACTGTACTGTACCCACAGACCCCCTGGCTGTGTTGATTCTGACTTTCCCTCACTTGCCATCGTATTACATCTGCATTCACATTTCTGAGAAAGCAGGACAATTACCCAGCCCTAACCTTAACCGTCACTAACGAAACAAAATGTTTATAAAATTGAGGTTATCCAAATGGTGACCTGAAAATTGTCCCCTTTTCAGGTTTTACCGAACTTTGGTGACATTTTGGTCCACAAATGGGATCCATGCAAACACATACAGACAGACAGACACACACACACACAGACAGCTGTGTAGATATACCAACAAAGGGTTGAATATATTAAATGAAAAATGAGATCATCTCAGTTTCAAAAAAGTGGATAAAAGTCAAAGAGCTAAATGCTCATTTACAGAGTCATGTTTGTATGGCAGATTATACAGAAATCTAAGTCAGAGTGTAATCAGTTTTGTGGTATGACATTATTGCCCATTTCATAGCTTTCAATGAAAAGATTTAATTTTCCTCCTAAGTATTCTGCTCTATTTCCGGTTGGAAGCTACAGTTTCTAGAGTAATTTTTTAAATCAACTTTAATTAGTTAATGCAATTAGGCTGGTCAGCAGCAAGCAAAAGGACATCTTTGTTCACGTGCTGTCTGGGACCCTTCCAGAAGGTACCATCTGTCCACTGACAGTCGGCTGATAGCGTGAGTAATGTGTATGTGTTGTGCAGGGATTGCCCCGCGGAGAGCAGCGATGACGCGAGTGCAGCAGTGGGAGGACGGGGGACTGTGAGAGAGACGAACCCCCCCGACTGCGGGGGGGAGGCGGAGGAGGAGGTGGTGGATGTGGGGAGTCAGCGTGGCATTCCCCAGGCCGTGTCAGAGGTCCTTGACGATGAAGCATGCTGCGCTCTCTCTTCCTCATGACACTGTGGGACACGGGGTCACACATGTTTATAGCCCCCCCCCCAAATCCTGTATCCATCCCCAAAATTTACTTACAGAACCGGCTCAGCTGATGAGCTGGCTTTAGCATTACTGCTTCGCTTGGACTGCCTTAGGGGGCTTTATCCTTCTAAAATGTCCTTTAGCCCCCCTCCCCCAAATAAATTCATTTTCATTTAAATCAGACCCCTCTCGTAAAGGCTTACCCCTCCCATTCATAAATCTCTAGTCACACTCCTGACTTTACTGCTTCATGTGATCTTGCGTGTCAAAGTAAACAAATAAATTTAAATGAATATATCTTTACAGTTTTTATGTAATGAAACGAACTGTAAACTGGCTTAATGTTGCACATCTTAAGCTTTATATAAAGTACTGAGAGAAGCGGTCATAACGGCAGTATATTAACATATAGATTGTGTCGCTGCTAATTGTATATTAATGTCGGGATATCCTGACCATCTCCTTTATCTGGATTGTCTGTTTCCCTCAGAGAGAATGTGCCCAGCGCTCCGCCACCTGAGATAATGTCAGAATGGCATCCCCCGCAAATGCGGCTCTGTAAAAACACGGCGCGAGGTTAGCTATCAACGTCGAGGAAAACCATTTTCAAATTACAGGCTCTGCAATTCTTATATTACAGAAAGAACTACCAGTCTCAGGTCGAAACTTATTCATTTACTGGGAGAGAAAGTAGGCTTCTGAGACCACAGTAAGGAAAACAAATATTGTTCATTCTTTGACTTCACAGAGATATTAACTACAAATAGTGGATTTCTTTTTCATCATTTGGGGGATTACGGTTTTGTCAACATTGTAAAAGGACTGAACTAGCAAATCTCCCAGGGGTGAGTGATGAAGACAGAGACGGCGATACTGTTTCGGTACAGAATGTGTCTCGTTTGCGTGTGTGTGTGGGTGGTACGTGGGTGGTGGGTGAAGCAGGAGGCTTTGTTTCTACCACAACATGGCCGCCAAAAGCATAGCTTTCATATTCCCCAGCAAGGCCATATCACTCACAGCACCGCTCAATGTATTTTTTTGTTCACCCAGTGTGATTCAGCCACCATCATCTGTTTTTTGAAGGTGACAGCATGCTCTGTGGCTTGTGAGTCCGTGGGGGGTCAGTGCCCTGGCACTGAGCTGCCCCCCAGGTGATATTGTATTGCCATGGTGATTGATCAACAGCCCCGGGCCAACTGATGCCTCAGTTAATGGAACCCAGCTGGTCCTAATAGGGCATATTGCGCTGCTAGGAATAGGTATCTGCAGCTCCGTGGATTCAGGGAAACTGAGATACTTGCCATTTATTGGGTCTATTTATCTTTTTGGACAGGTTTTAGGTTCCGGACTCTTTTGAAATAGCCTCCGTCGGCTTTTGAACCCGTACAGCCCTACAGCAAACCTGCACTCCCGGTTTACTTTGAGTGTCTCATGTGATGGTGAATTCAAGAAAATTGAACCTAATGGACAACAGAACCAAGGGGGCAGCTGGTTGTTATTTGTTCCCCCACGTTGTACTTGGTACCATTACAGTACAATTGGCAGTGTGTTGCGAATCTACATCCGGCAATCTGCGATCGATTACCCAGTATAAGTTGGTAGGGGGAATGGAGACTGTCTTCACCTGTGTAATGGCAAGGCAGGGAAACACCCTGTACAGCTGTCATGTATGCAGTTATACTAAGTAGTATAATGTGCAGTGAAACGTACAGTTGCCTTGCCCCAGACTATGAAAAAGGAACATAAGTCGAATAGACAAGACAGAAACAATGTATCACAAACATTGAACATTAAATAATAATCGTAAATATCTATGGTTACTAGTAGTAAGTGGAAATAGTGCGAGAGACCAGAAATAAATATGAATATATGTGTTCAGGTGTGGGTTAAGTGGGCTGTGGAGAATGTCAGTTGTGCAGGTCCTAAACACTTTTCTCATTTAGGATCTGAGTTGCCTGTGGAAAGATGCTCTTCTCCAGCCTTCCTGCGATGGCCTTCAGGCAGGAATAGCATCTGTCCAGCCTCAGTGAGATATAACTTTGCTGTGGCATTGAATTAGAAATAAACTTGAAAGTCAATGACTTGTTTCCTTCTCAGGCTTTTACCATGACTGTCTGTATAAATCAGTATTATATATCATCATCGTCCTCAAGTGGATTCACAATGAAAAAAAACATAGCTTGTGCCTGATTGGCTGGTGTTTCTGAGCGCTGAGAAGGGGAGTTAGGTAACTGCAATCGGCAGGTCAGTTTAGTCCACCTGTCCTCGTCCTCCATGCACACATATTGAGGTATGTTCTGTTCTTACGGCCCCCTGTAACCCGAAATCCTGATTGTAACCTGGGATCCGCACCAGCTGAAAGGACATCTTTATGTTGTAGCTTGATTTGTTGTTACCACAAAAGTAAACCTCTATTTCCTAAAAACCAGTCGCTCTCTGTTCTCTCCCCATGCTATATTCATTATGGTTAATTACCATGTTCGGCAGCGGTGGAGAAGAACCCTCTCTGAGCTGCTCCAGAGCTGCCATTCCTGGAAGCCTTAATTTAATAC